TTGTATAGTATATATAGTGATAAGTTATATAGGTCTGGGTCATTTATTTGTTGTGTCATTTTACTTATATGGTGTTGGCATTGTATATTCTATAGTGTCTTGAGTACATATATTCTGTGGTTATAGAATGTTGAGTTGGGTATAGCTCTGGATATTCCAGCCTTGTGTTTAGTAATTGAGGTATATTTGTTTGTAAGTTTGTCACATTGTGGTTGAGCATATATATAATTTTGTGTTTGATATTCGAAGCGTGTTATAATGACTATGTTGATTATATATAATGCTTGTTTCCTTGTGATTGTTGATTTTTGGAGTAGCTTTAAAGCTTCTTCAATTTCTTTTGTTATATTTTGTTGTATTGATGTTTTATTAGTGTAGATATTGTAGTAGCATCTGAGAAATCGAAAACAGTGTTTAGATGATATTGGGTATATATTAGTATTATTAAATGTGATATATGTAAGTTCCTCTTTGTTCTTTGGTTTGTAGTTGGTAGCTAGTATAGATTTGTGTGGTTTGACTGTGATTTCTGTCATTTTGTAGAAAGAATTAGCTATATCAATTAGTATTTGTAGGTTTGGTTTGTTTTCTGCTATCCATAATATATCATCTATATATGCGAGTACATTTTGTTGTTTGCTGAGGCATGTGTATTGTATGTATGTTGGTTGTAGTGTTGTTGTGCTCATGTTATAGGTGAGGTAGTTTTTATTAATCCAAGTTAGTAAGAGGTCGTAGTATATTCTTTATAGTAGTGGGGTTATAGTTTTGCCTTGATCCATGCCATTTTAAATATGATAGTTGTTGATTATTCCATAATTTGTGATGACATTATTGTGTCTATAAGATAGTATATTGTTTATAATGTTTGTTATAGGTTCTGATATTTTGATATGATGCAGTGCTTTAATTAATAGTATATGTATACCGAGTCATAAGCCTTGCTCATATCCTGTGATAACAACCATAATTCTTTTTTGTTTATTTGGGCGTCTTCTATTATGTGTTGAAGTGTATGTATTGATGTTGCAGTTGTGTTTGCTAGGGCTACATAGTTGTTTGGATTTAGTATATAGTATTTGAATAGGATAGAATCAAGCCTTTGTACAATGATTTTTATAAGGATTTTTCTGGTATATTCAATTAGTATAATTGGGCGTATTTGGTTTAAATCTTCTATAAATGTTGCTTTTTTAATATGAAATATATTGTACTATATTTTCATGCAGTTGGTATGTCATGTAATATTAGACAATTGTTTAATAGATTTAAGATTGTGGCTTTTGCTTGGGGCCTAGGTGTTTTAGCATTTCATTTGATATTTTTGAGGGTCTAATAGCCTTTGTATTGGGTGCTTTTTTGATTATAGTCTTTAATTTAGAGGGTGTAATCTTTGTCATGATTGTGTCATACCATGTTGGGTCTATTGTTTGGATTGGTTTATATTCATCTGCCTACTCTTTCTATAGTTTCATTTGAGTTGGGTTTGATTTTGTCTAGTTTTTAAAATGTTCTTGTATTGCGGTTTTAATCTCCTGAGGTTCCGTGATTATATTGTTAGGTGTTTGGATATTGTGTAGTATTATGAGATCTGCGTGTTTTTTAAGTATTTTTATCATTTTAGATGTATTGTTTTGGAAGTTTTAGTATCTGTGTTCAATACAGTTCTTTATATATATGTTTTTTGCTGTTTGGTTTTCTATATTTCTTGCTATTTTGATTTGTTGTTGGGCTGTTTTGAGTATTGTATCTATTTCTTCTATGGTTGTGTTGGGTTGTATTTATATTTGTGTGTTAGATAGGTTGTTAGTTTGTTGTATAAAGTTGTGTATTTGGTCTATATTTGTTGCTTGTTTGTGTAAGCTTATGTGTCTTCATGCCTTATTTATATATATCAGTGTTTTATATAATTTGGTGGCTGTAAATGAGAATAGATGGTTATTATTTTGTGTTGCTTTACATGTATATGGAATATGTTTATTTGCACTTTGTTTAATGCAGTTTGCTAGTATGTGCTATGTTTTGTTGAGGTTTTTTATACTAGGGCTTAGTAGATTTGTTTTCGATTAATAGGCAAATCGCGAGTCATCTAAACAAAATATCTTGTCTATTTGGCTGCTGATTTGTTGGGAGCTCCATGTAGGTTCGTTCGATAGAAGGGTGTTGATTAATGGTAGCATATTTAAATTTTTTAGGTATTGTATTAGATTGTTGTGTATGTGTTTTTTGTTGAGATCAAGATTAAAGTCTCCCAGAATGATAAGTTTGATCTTTTGTTTATTTGCTTGTTCTGCTCATTCTATTATTTTGAATTGGGTTAAATTGTTAAGTTGTTTGTTGTTGCAAGGTAGGTATGTTGCTATAATATGAAATTGGTTTTTGTATAGTAAGAATATATCAATGCTGAGTGCCATTCCTGAATAGGTTTGTATATTATGTATATATGGTTGTAATTTCTTATATAGTGCTATTACAACTCCTATACTTGATTCTTGTTTTTTGGCTGTTGTTGCTGTGGTGTTTAATGTGTAAAAGTAGTATGTCTCGTTATATAGTTGTAAATTTGTATATCTTGATTCTGTGAGCTTAGTTTCTGTTATGCTTATTATATCTATGTTTTTCTTTTTGCAGTAGTTAAGCTATAGTTGTCTTTTGATGTTTCATTAAGCCTACATATCATAATATAATAAAATTATCGCCTGTCACGTGTGTCTTGTACATTTTTACCAATCATTCCGTTCATGTGAATTTTCTGTTCATGTGAATTGAACATGAATGAGAATAAAGATGATATGGCATGTGAATTGATATAAATATAAGATGTGTATATATATATATAAATATGACAAGTGTAATCAGTTAATCGTTTACTAAAAGGAATTTGTTTTTATCATTTTAGAATTGTGTCGTAAGTATGACAAATGCGATCGGTAAATCGTAATACAGTACTAAACTTTAAATGGAAATTAACATATATTAGGAAATTACAGACTATAGGAATATTTTATGATAAAATTAATTCATATTTGTAGTATATGAAAAACGTGAATTTATAAATAGCGGTTTATATAACTTTATATTATGAAATAAGCATAAGTAATTTGATGTAATTATGATGTGCTTTTTTTGTTTTTATCGACCAAACTTTTTAGCTAAAATTGTTAACTAATTTTTCTTCACAATTCTGGTTGGTTTTGCTAAATATTTTTATATCAAAATCTGATTAATTCGATAATTATAACAATGATTATATCATTGATCAATTTAATAATACTACAATAATAAAATACGAGAAGAAATTAATAAACCTACTAAAATTTGTGAGCAATTGATATGATGTATTTTAAAGAATATAAATGTATGAGTGACGATTTTCAAACTTTAAATTATGAAACGGCTAAATGATCTGAAATAATTATAATATATAAGATTTTCTTTTTTCTTTATCAAACTAAAAAATTCAAACTTTTCTTTTAAGCGTTTACAAACTGATGATGTTATTTCTGTATATATTGACCTTTATGTATGCTATGTATATGCAGGTATTACAAGTATTGTATAGCTCTCGCATATGGATTAAATTGTTAAATGGAATCATATTTAAAATATACATAGTGAAAATTAAGAAATAAGAGTTAAAATAATTTATTCAATTTATTTATTTATTTAATTTATTTATTTATTTATTTAAATTTAAAAGCGAAGATGTATATATTTAACTTAACTAAATAAATAAATCTTATTAATAAAAATCGTATAACGTAAATAATAACTGAACGTTGATAAAAAAAAATAAAAAAACTATAAATATTAAAGCCAAACCAAAATTTAATATCTGGATGCTTTTGCAAAATCTTGAATATATTCAAAAATCCACATACATAACAACCAATCATAAAAAAAAAAAAAAAGAAAGAAAATGTTAACAAAGAAAGATCGAGAAAATGCTCGCACCAGGCAAAGACGATGAAATACAGAATATAAACGTCAATATCGTGCACGAACACAAGACCCTAACAAGAGAAAAAATTACAATGAACAAAGACAAGAGATAAACAATGATAAATATAAAACCAAAAAACATGCTGAAACTGAACATCCTTTGCGGTATGGCTTATTCTGGTAGGATATATTATACTCTTTGAATAAGAGTTCGCAGACGCCTCTAAATTTTTTATGGGATCGAATTTGTCCTCATTGTTCGGTAACGCTCCTTACCGGTGAATCATCTAAATTTTGTTGCAATAATAGAAAGCGAGTCATTCCACCCCTACCCGTTTATCCTATAGAAATCAATGATGTTCTTAATGACCCAAATATTAGTGCATCTTCGCGAAAACTCAATGCACTATTTTCATTCACTGCGATCGGTATACAAGGCCAGTTTGTACAACTTCCTGCACCATCTTCAGTTAGCATTTCTGGTCAAACTTACCATTGTATTTTACCAGCAAACATTCCCAATCATTCAATACATTGGTATCTTTATGATGAACAAGAGAGATATTACTCAGCTCGCAATCGCGAAATTCTGTATGAATGGGTATCATCAGTACAAAATATGCTAACACTAATAAACCCTTATGTATATTCATTACAATTACTCAGAGACAATTTTTCCAGTACTGCATTTCTGGAACTGCAAGAAAATACCTCAATAGGTGAAGTTGCTACTGTAATTCATGCAAATAATACCGTTAGTATACAACCACGAAGCATCATCATCTGGCATTATTCGGATAGTGAACCCAAATTTATAAATATTCTCAGCTCACAATATGAACCCCTACAATATCCACTGTTCTTTCCTCATGGAACGCCTGGATGGCATGTCAATAACAGTTATAACTTATCGCAGATCGATTGGTACCGCTGTCGTTTGTTATGTGAAAACAGATTTTTAGTCTTAGGAAGGTTGGCTGCTGAGTATTTAGTAGATATGTATTCGCGTGTCGAAGAAGAACGTCTAAATTATATACTAAATGAAAAAAAAACGTTTTATGAAAAAAAGAATAACATCTCAAAGACAAACCAATATTGAAGAAGACTTTAGAGATAATAATGATAATGATGACGGAGATTTACGTCTTCCTGCTTCTTTTCTGGGTTCAAAGAAATGGTGTTCAGTTCGCGTAGTGAATGCTCTTGCTTTAGCACATTGCCGGGAGAAACCAAGCTTTTTTATAACAATGACTACCAACCCAAATTGGGAAAAAATTCGATCGCAGTTGCGGCCCAGGCAGAATTCAATGGAAATACCAACAATTGTTGCGTATATATTTCACTTCCGTTTGAAAAAGCTGAAAGATTTGTTACGTGAACATTTTGGAAAAATTGCTTACATTATTGACGTGATTGAATTTCAGAAGAGGGGACTTCCCCATGTACATATTGTTATGCGTGTTAATCCCGAACTTCCGATTGACCAAATTGACAAAGTCATATCTGCTGAAATGCCTCGTGAAAATATGCGATTGAGAGAGTTAATCAAAAAATTTATGATTCACAAACAACAACACTCACCAAGGTGTCTTCGTGATGGTACCTGTATATATCGATATCCAAAGTCTGTTATTCCAAGTACATATATTGACGAAAGAGGATATGTACAATATAGACGTCGAATGGAAGAGGATGCGTGGGTGGTGCCTTATAATTCATTACTTATTCTAAAATTAGACTGCTATATTAATTTTGAGATAGCTTCTACTGTTCATTTGTTCATGTATTTGTATAAATATTTATTTAAAGGCCCTGATCATGTCAAATTTACCGTAAATAATACAAGTAATATAGAAACTATTGGTACAAATGGACAGCATCCGTCAGTAAAACGACCAGTTAATGAATTTAAAGATTATATCGAAGGAAGATACTTATCAGCACGTGAAGCCGCATAGAGAATATTTCGATACCAGATAACTGCAACAAATCTGCCTGTACAAACACTTCCAATTCACCTCCCTAATACAAACATTTCTCAATATTCGCGAATAAAGAACACTTCGTCATCTGCATCTCTTCTAAACAGATATCTTCTTCGTCCACTTGATTCACACTTTAATGAACTTAAATACACTGAATATTATGAGCAATTCACATTATATCCTTTTAAACAACAAGATTTTTGAGATGGAGACTTTATCGAACAAAAACAACCTGAAATACCAACAAAAATTATGAGAAGACGAACAACCGATAAAATTACCAGATTAGTTTTAATACCTCCTGAAGTTAGTGAATTTTTTTACTTAAGGTGTATTCTAATGCATCATCCATTTCGAACGTGGAAAGATCTTAAAACAGTAAATAGAACTATTTTTTCTTCTTACCAAGAAACTGCTCATGAAATGGGTCTATTCGCTATTGATAATGAAGGAGTATTTATAATGAAGAAAGCTGTTGAAAACTTTTATACACCTTTAAAACTACGATTTCTATTTGTACAATTAATTTTAGATAGTACCCCTGCTTTAGAACTATGGGAAAAATTTAACCAACAACTTTCCTCAGACATAAAAGAACAATCTCACCATAATCAACAACTTTCTATCAATATTACCCTTCAGCAAATCGCTTATATGCTTACAGAGCACGGACGACGAATGTGAGATTTTGGACTTCCAGAGCCGCAAATACAATCACGAGAGGTGATACTAGAACATCAACGCTATTCTAACAATGTTCACTATTATCAGCTTGCTGAAGAATTTTATTCAAAAATGAATCTGGAACAAATTATCTTTTACCGTGAAGTTATTACCTATATACTTTGGAAATCAGAAAATGGACCTCCACCAGAAACAAAGTTTCCTAAATTTCTGGATGGAAAAGTAGGGCGCGGCAAGACCTTTTTGATAAATGCTATATGCCATTCTATTAGATCAGAAAATAAAATTGTTCTACCTTGTGGAACCACTGCTTTAGCAGCTCATCTATATGAAGGAGGACGCACAGCCCATTCGTTATTTCGCATACCGGTTGAAGAAAACAATGCCAACATACAATCCTCAATCAAATATAACAGCAACCGCGCAGATCTAATTCGTGCCGCAAAATTGATCATTTGGGATGAACTTCTAATGGCCAATAAAGCTACATTGAATTGCGTTGACCTCCTTCTCCGGCAGATCTGTAGAACAAATGAACTATTTGGCAAAAAACCTCTAATTGGAGTCGGAGACTTTCGTCAAGTGGCGCCAGTCGTCAAGGGAGCAGGAAAAAGTGCCACTATTGATGCATCAATCAAAAGCTCACATCTATGGTCATACTTTGAAATATACACACTTAATCAGCCTATACGAAATGCAACCGATCCAACTTTTTCAGAATTTGTTGACGAAATTGGTAATAACTGGCAAGATCCTGAAGTTTCTCTTGACATTTTTAAAATAACTAGAAATATTGAAGATGCCATCTCCTTTTTATATCCTAAAAACATGCTTATAAATCCTATAATATTACAAAAAAGAGCTTTTCTAAGCCCACGTAATACCTTAGTAGATGATTTTAATTCTCAAATTCTTAATACTTTACCTGGAATAGATCACATTTATTTTAGCTATGATGTTATCAAGGAAAATGACCAAATTATAAATGACCATCCCTTTACGATATCTGATTATTTAGCTCAGCTGACACATCCTGGAATACCTAACCATGAGCTACGTCTAAAAGTCGGTGCCGTTTGTTTAATAATGAGAAATATTTCAATCGACAAAGGATTAGTCAAAAATGCACGAATCGTAGTAACTAAATTGGGCCAACGATTAGTTGAAGTGGCTGTGTTAAAAAATAATCAACTTGGTAATATAACAGAAATGCACCGGCTTCTTAGAATCAATTTTTACTTCCAACCAGATTACTGCTCGTGGACAGTACATCGCAAACAATTTCCGTTATGTTTAGCCTACTCAACAACTTTCAATAGTTGTCAAGGTCTCACATTAGAACACATCGTAATAGATCTTCGAACATGCGTATTCGCTCACGATCAATTGTATACAGCAATCTCTCGAATTAAAGAAAGAAATCACGGTTTAGTATTACTATCTGAAGACAACATAGATGGCACTACAGCTAACATCTCTTACAAAGAACTCATTCAATAAATACATATATATACATTACTGATTTCCCAAAGATCAAAGCAAAATTACCTTCCTATATAAAATTCTAAACACTGAAAACCCTATAATTTATTTTTTTTATTTTTATTTTTTTTTGTTGTAAATGCCATAGTTGAAACTTTATTTAAAAAAGTAGAGAAAGATCTACATTTAAAGATTTCGAA